GACAACACAGTTACCTGTGGTTCAGAAGGTATGTTAGTGAATTCTCTTCAAGTTCTAGAATGCTTGTTTAGCATTCAAATGATGGCACAAGATCACTGAGAATCTACTACACTGGATAAAGACAGGACGATTCACAGAGTCATTGAAATAGTTGACTTCTCTCTAGTCTGTCTGGTAGTGTTTTTCCTATGATCAGGTTTCAATGAGTAGGAAAAAGTTCTATGTTCTTCCAGATAAGTAATGAGATACAAGTAACAAAGTAGACTGGTGGTATTTGTTTTTGCAGACTGTCAGGTATTAGTGCGGTATCGTTGCATGTTAGGAAGTCTTTAGCTCTTTTTGTACTTTTTTTAAGTTTTAAGATGACAAATATTTTTTAAAGGGAATTTGTGTATTGACGAGAAGTCATAAAATACTAGATTATTCCAGTTCCAAGGTCAGTGTTGCTTACGCACTGTTAAAAAGATAAGATGTTCTTGGTAAGTTTGAGGACTTCAAGTTTAGAGAGAGACAATTGGGATTTATTCTCCACCTTGGGATACTGATCTATCATCTATCGTGCTTTTAATAAAAGAAAGCCCTGAACAGTTTTCAGGATTGGGGAATGACTGATTTCTCTCACGCAGCTGAAGATTTGTACGCAATTGAAGTCTATAGCTGTGCTGGGAAAAGGGCTGGTGTATCATTTGAATCCCTTGGTGAGCCAGCAGGAGCCGATATGCCTGGATTACCTAGGTCAGGCTGTATCCTCCTTCAAATCCAGCCCTATCCAATGTCTGCCACTTGTCATCTCATACTTATCAAGCATTCCTGGAGCTCAACCACCCCTCCAGTCACAGGCTGTGACATGCCTCTTGTGACCGTCAGCCATGTAAGTGTGCTAGTGTTAGGCTATACTGTCAGGAAGGTTCTCCGCCTGTGCCTTTGACAGTTTCTTTTATGTCATCATGTCCCTTTCCAGAAGTGTATTTTTGAATGTGGAGACAGTTCTTTATGTCTCAGCTTCAGGCATAGAAGTCTATACGTATTTTGAAACAAAGAAGTGGAATGTTAAGGACCTTGAAGTCTGCATTTCTAGGTTAAGGCTGTCATTTGGCCCAGTCTCCTTCAACTCTTCCCAAATACACTATCAGGTCAGAATTTGAAACTTGTAGCCATTTGTCAAGCATTTCTGGATGTTCAGAGTTGTTGACTCTTTCACTGTGTTTGTGCAAAAATTCTAGTGTATTCTGGATGAAAAGATCAGTCAGACAGCACATATGTTGATCATCCGATGTGTCTGATGCACGTCTGTCTTTGAAATTCCAGAAAATGATGTAACACCCTTATTCCAGTTTATTCTTAAAATTTTTTAAACAAAATATTTTGATTTATTTCAAAAAAAAATGTTTTGGAATTTCTCCTCTGCTGCAATTCAGATTTTTAGGTCTACTTTTGTTGTTTCTTACCAAACCAAAAAAAAGTATATAGAAAATTGGCGTTTCCTGCAGGTTGAAAATTTCAGTTTTCATCTATCTTATCCCAAGTATATCCCTGCAGAAATCTGGTAGATAGATTACCTACTAATGCTTGAGTAGGTATCCTGGGAAGCAGATTAATAATATGTAAGTAACTTTAATTTGGAATTTCTTAAATCCTGAATGCTTTACTTTGCAATCTAATCTTCTTTTGCAGAGGAGTGTTTTCATGAAACTTCTTAGCTTTTTTAGTTGTTTAAAGGGGAAGATAAACAAATGCATATTTTGTATAACTGTTAACAAAGGATGCTTTTGCTTCTTTGGCAGTTGCGTGGTTGAGTTCTTCAGTACATAAATGTTCCCTATATTGATTTTTATATAGTCTAGCTAAAAGAGGACTGTATCCACTGTGTTGGTCATATGGATTTTTTTTTTCCTCTGTGTTGTTAAATATTCTTCCGTAAGAACATCATGTTGTTTTTTGGATTAGATCTACCTCTAGAACATTTCCATACTCTCTTTGTATTTAGTTGGAATATTAATGAGATAAAGCACAGTTTTGCTTTTAATTACTTTTAATTTTTTTTATATTAATCAAAAATTTCTTAAAAGTCAGAGCCCATACAATGCAAATAGAAAGTCTTCAGTAGATTCTGTAGCCTAAAATACAAAATGTCTGGTGTGAGTTCTTGTATTGCAGTGTTCTCTACCCTGCAGGCGTTCCTAAGAACTCTTCTTAATGTCTTTAAGAAGTTTCCAGACTGCAGTCTTTGGTAAGCTGCCTGGTCCATCCTATGGTCTTGGCCTCACTTTGTTGTTTCCAGATGCTTCTTGAAACCTCCAGACTTTTCATAGCAAAGAAAAGCCTAGGAGCCATGCAAAACTCTCATGCTTACGTTTAAAGATGGTTAGAATATCCTAAATATTTCCTTTTACTGTTTTTCCTGTAAGCAGTTGCTGCAGTTGCCATAAGGAGGTTATGCAATTCTGAACGGGCAGAGGGATGATCCACGTGATTGTGAAAGGGGGGAGGCGGCGGAGGCGGGTTATGAGAATAGGAAGATGTAATCCATATGGTTGAAATGTTTGGCAGCTACCAACTTGAACATAAAATGGGCTGCAGCTTGTGGCCTGCTCTAGCCCTGCTATTTTTGCCAACTTTTATTGTTACGGAGCCAGCTCAATCCATACTTGCCACAGCCTTATCAGTAAGTAGCATGCCTGTCCCTGCAATCAGGGAATGAATAAAACTCCTTTTTCTAAGATTTCTCTCTGCATGTCCTGTTGATCTCGGGTGGTTTTCACTTAGAATGTCTGCAGTGTCCAAAGAGGTATACTCATTACTTTTTCCCCTATACACATGGAGCAGCTGAAGAGAGCAGCTGGAGCAGTCAGATGTTTTCTGGATAGATCCTAGCAACACCAGCCTTCAGTTCACACGGTCTAATTGACTGCCTAGCCTAGCTAAGCTTCTGCATGAGAAGTTCACTGTGTGTAGCAGAGGCTCCAAGGTAGCTAGCAGTCGGGTTGAAGCCCTAGCTTATGGGCAGCCATAAGGTGGGAACATAGACGTGGGATTAGATAGGCCTTTGGAATGGGCTGTGGGGAAGCTGACAAGCAATTTGACTTTTATACCCCACCCTAGCTGCTGATTTTCAGACCCTCTAAATTATGCTTGGGGTCTGAATTGTCCAAGGCTGGCCCTGCTACCTGAACTGTGTTGAGGGCAAATGTGATGATGCAAAGAGATGAATGATTGGGTGGAGGAGTGGACTGGAGTAGAGTATATTACACTATCTAAGCAGAAGTACTAAAGTTTTGTGCCAAAGTCAAAAAGTCTCCTTCCTTACACAGTGAGAAAGATAGGCTTCTCCAAAGAGCATTTCAGAGTAGGAGCTTAACTCGGGACTTTGACTCGTGATCCTTCTTGGATTTACCTGAAGTAAGCATCAGCCTCTTGCTGTGCTGCAGCTAAATCCAGCAAGCATCACGAATCAGAGTCCTTAGTCACTGCGTTTTAACAGAACCTGAAATTGGCGGTTTATGTTAATATGAAGGACTGATAAATGCCATGGCTGAGGAGTGAGGTGGACACGTTACAGCAAAATAGTATTTTGATCATAAATTTGAGCACTTAGGTGTCCTGAATCACCTTATGGTGTCTCCACTGATAGAGACCCCATAAAGGGAGTCTAGGAGGATTGTTCTTACGTCAGCATCTAAACTGGGCAGCTAAGAGAAGGTAGTGTGAATGTGCTATCATTGTATAAGTCAGCCCAGTTCGGTTACATGCAACAGGACTATCTTCACATTATTAATCGTTCACAATACAATGAAAAGACCACCGGTGCTTCACAAATAGAAATTAGCATTACCTGCATTGTGATGCAGTAAATGACGTTAGCAAGGATGTATTCTCAAAGAAAGCAGGCAAAGAAGGGTGGGGTGCCAAATAAATATTTGCAACACAATAACAAGTTTCTAATAATATGTGCTGGATAGCTTGACAGAAAAGGTCAGAAAGCTGCTTCGGAACTACTGGACTAGTTTTGGCACTGATCCTCTTGTATTTTCTAAGTACTGCCAGAGTCTTTTGTTAGTTTGTTTTTCTAACCAAATTTAATTGAGTGATATACTGGGTATTTAGTAATACCCGGTAAAGCTTGTGTAGCATTAAAATGATAAAGCATGGAGTTTCATGTAATTTTATTTACTTTTAGTTATATTACATGGGCATGATAAAGTAAACCATCAACATGATTCCAGCAGGAAAACGGTTCTTAAAATACAGTGGGTTGAATGACCATTTGATATAAACGGATACTGAAAACAAAACAGCAATAGCAAATAACATGCTGTGAAAGTTAAGCCTCGAATGCCAGAATCTTTTATTGATGTTACACCTCCTCCATCAGGAGAGTTTCCACAAGGAAACACGTGACTTACCGTGTCTTTTTTTAAGGATTTCGGTACACAAGGTTCTGCTTCCTGTTCACTCACATTTGGAACAGCAAACCCAAATTATGCAGACCAGCTACTTGGACTTTTTAAAATGATGCTGTTTTCTTTTAGCCTGACGCTTTTCCAAATGTCAGAAGACCACCAGTCATGTTAAAACTTTGATGTAGCAAGACCTTGCAACAGTCTTGTTAAAGTAGTTGTATGCCCTGTAAGTTCTTATTGATGATGTGGCTTGCCAAGTCACGCAGCAGCAGAGACGCTTAGGAACATTTAGGAAGGAAGCTCAGGGATAAATTCCATCAGTTTAGTTAAACCAGTTCTCCAGATGTGACTGAGGGCAGGATTTGGCTACAGGCTTACTGGTTACCGGTTCTCTGATTTGGTCTCTTGAAGAAACTGATTGTTACTTGCGTGGGCCAGCTAAGGAGAGGCATGGTATTACTTTAGAGAGAAACCCTGCTGTATACTTGTAAATATGTCATATATATTTATATAAACATGCATTTGTACAGAGGTACCCATTCCTTGTCTAAAGGAATGTGATAAACCTGTGTATTATTTTCTTTCTTTTTCTCCTTCCAGATCAATGCAGTCCGATCAATTGTTCCAAACAAAAGCAATAATGAGATAGTTTTGGTGTTGCAGCAGTTTGACAACAATATAGACAAAGCTGTTCAAGCTTTTATGGATGGTGAGTAGATTGTACTTTTTTCACTAGAGCTTTTGAGGTATTGCACTGTATACAGATGTACTTGCTGCCTTTAATGCCTTGAAATGTATTCTGTTGTTTTGTTGAAGTTCAGCTGATTGTGACACTTTGCCTGTTTGGTGTTTTTTTTTTTTTTTTTTTTTTAATAATTTTTTATTGTTTTTTTCTTTTTGGTTAGGTTATAGAATGTGTTTTCTCAACTTAACTTTCTACTTCTTTACCTTTGACCCTCAAAGTGGCTGTATTTTTTTTTTTTTTTTTAAATCAATGATCATGCTGTTTGCATCTTTGCTTCTTCACAGTATAAGCTTGACCTGGCTGTTTATCTGCTCTCTGCGACTTTGCCATTTTTGTTGCCTTTCTTGAAACAGAGAATACCTTCCTTAATCTATTCTACATGAAAACTAGTACTCCCAATTTGTCAGAATACAATTCATTATAGAAGACAGAGTAACTAATAAAAATCAGATATAGTTCCGAAGCAGATAACCAGGCCACTAAAGCCCTGAACTTGGTGCATATATTGACATTCAAACCTCCATCTGAATTTTGCAAATAGCCTTGACATTTGTAATGGCTGAACCAAGACTCCACTGAAGTTCGAGTCTTTCTAAATCTGTATTTGGCTTTGCATTTTGCATCATGAGACCATCTGTAATAAAAAGGTCACTTGTATTTAAACAACGCTTTTCTGATAAACATATAAAGGCAAGAATTTTGAACTTCCACCACAGTCTGTAAGAAACTCTTTGCATGAATATTGGCATACTAGGAAGAAATCCTATCAAAATCTTCATAGCTTGGAGCTGCTTAAAATGTACTATGTGCTCAGAGGTCTCGAAAGCCCTGGATATATTAAAAAGCAAATAATCAATTTCAGGTTGTCTGTACAGCCTGATGGTACTGAAACTAATAGAATCACTAAGTGGCTTATTTCATACCTATATTATTTCAAAATCATTTTGTTTTTGGTTTGGATTAACTCACTGAAATGTATCAGACAAAAAACATCATTGTGTACTAGGAATTACACCGATGTGCAAAAAGCAGATGTAAGCAAACTGAACTATTCACAAATGCATCAGAATTCTTCAGTCAAATCAGTATGATGCTTCTTTATTCAGACATCTGCATAGGCAGGCAGGTTCTGATAGATTTATTGAAATCGGAGTTTATGTACGCCCATACAGCGAGGAAAACATGATGCATGGATTGTATCTAATTACAATAATTTATTTTCCTGTAATGTGTGTCCTGGAGAAAGTAGCAGAGGGTTGCTGCATGGTTATTCAGTATGTTCATTTCATTTATTTTATTTTGTCTTAAGTCAGCATTATTCATTTTGTGGACTCCTGAGTTGTTTCCAATGTAATGCTTCCCATGATTGTTCCTGCCGTTCTCCTGCCCTCCTTGAATACCACAGGCACCTTCTGCATTGTTAGAAAGAAACCTCAAGGTGTTACAGTATCCTAAAGCTGCTCATCGCTCCACAAAGCCCTTGTTCCAGCGTTTCAGAGCATTTCCCAAGCTGCTTAAGGTTCCTGGTAAAGGCTGACTAGCTGAGCAGGTGCCAGCAGTGAAGACATTAGGCTGCAGTGGAGCAACCACTTCTTGTTTCTATATCTCAGTTCTTTTCTAGCTTGGGGTAGTTGCCACTACCTTGTGTTTTATCCAAAGCATAAAGTCCAGAAGTGTCTGGGTTTCAGGCATTCTTCCAGCCTGAGCTGGTCCATTGATGATATAGTGATAGACATAGCATTTCTCCTTTACCGAGTTGCGTAGTCCACCTGATGCTGTTTAGTACAGCAGTGCCGTTGGTTGTGATGCTATTCCTGCCTGTTCTCTTCTTCCCAACCACTGTTCTTGTTCATCTTGTGCTTGAGTGTATATTTGTGACTGAGGACAAAATGGGCTTCATTTGAACTGGGCCAGTTTATAATCATTGTGCCTTTGATTAAGAAGTCTTTGGAAGTGAGAATTTGAAGCCAGCCAATATTTGTCACCGTCTTGAAACAGAGTGCCCTTATTTTAAAGACAAAAGCCCAGAGTTGTTCAAGCACTGCCTGAGTGAACTGACAACAGGAAAGAGAGGTGTCTATTTAGCTGCCTCTGTGAATAGAGTGAATATAGCACTTTATCTTTTCATGAGAAGCACAAAATTGCTAAGGTGGAAATATCACACAGCTGCAGAGAACCTGCTGCCTACAGTGAAGAACATGGGGATAGCCATACTGTGTGAAAAGAGCAAGCACCTCAATTTAATACCTCTCTCAGACAGAATTACTGCATACTGAATTCAAGAAATGGCTGAGGATGTTCAAATTTAGTTTTCTGAGATCAGCTCCTATCTTGCTTTGCATCTAGAGTGGTCTGTAGGTGCTGTCTCTGTTATGAGTTTGCTACTATTTATAAAATTTGAGTTAAAAGCTGTTTAAAATATGTTTAATTTGCTGTGTTAGCATTTACCTGTTTGAACACATACAGAAGGTCTGTTCGAGCTGCTTTGTGGATGTGTTCAAGAAAAGATTCTGATGGGTTGGGTTAAGGGCAATGGGACTTGCACAGATAGTGCATTTCCAACAGCAGGAAACTTTGAGTTGGTTGTGAGAACTCCTAAAATAACCCTCACTGAGCATAATACTCTCATGGAAGCTTGGGGAAGCAAAGCTAAAACAACACCAGCCAACACAAAAAAAGTGTTGGATACTATTGTGAAAATGGTTAATAAAGCTGTCAACTAAAATAACATATTTTCAGCAGCATGGGGTGAAATGAGCAGCAAACTGTGGATTTATTTCTTCTTCTGAAACATGATGTCCATCAAAAGATAACGTACCCTTTGGGGGAGGGTGTTGTATGGCTACATACATATATACGTATATCTAAATATAGCTATGTAGATACATCTACACACGTAATAGAAATTTTCTTAACCCTCCCTCTGAAATATCTTGTCATCTGTGAAGCAACATATGGCTTTGCTGGATTCCATACACACATTTTTTCACAATTTAATAAACTAGCTTTAGAACTGCCAGGAAGGGACAAAATCACTTTCCATGTGCATAGTAGACTCACCAGGCAAAATCCGATCTGGGTTATTGGGACAGAAAAACAATTTTGGCACATTTGAAACCCATACAAGCGTTTAGCTGAAAGTAAGTTGACCGCTGATGGTCTGAAAGCAGCAATACTTCTTGGCACTAATATCACCAGAAGTTCCCGAAAGGAGTGAGAAGAAAGGCTGAATATGAAGCCCATTTGCAAAAGATAATAAATGAGCATGTACTAGAACTATGCGGTAATGGTGAACTGATTCTCAGATTCAAGCAAAAACCTTTAGCCTGGTTGTGATTAAAAGGATTATCATGGTGGATAGGGCCATAATAGTTTGGATGCCACTTCTGACTGCATGCTTACATGAACATCTATTTTCAGCATTTCAAGGAAAACAAAATAGAGATGTTAACTGGATGTAGAAGAGTTTTCTTTTAAGATGGCAGCTGGCACTGATCTGAACAAGCCTCTGCTTGCTGTATTCTGTAAATTTATCTAACTATCTCATTAGGGCTGCTAGGAAAAAATTCAAGTATACCAAGTTGTAGTCGTTTCAATACAACTTTTAAACAGTTTTTACTATCATGCCTAAGTTTGCTGTATGTTGACCTATGGATGCAGGATTTCTGCCGGGGTCCACAAAACAATTTTTTTAATGCTAATATGATTTTCATATAATCTTGTTATGCTTTCTGAATATGAAGATAACATATATAAAGTACTTGAGCAAAATGCTGAAAAGTGTAAAAACTTTTGGAGAGAGAGGCAGGGTGGACTACCTAGTGTACTTTAAACACATCCCTTTTCAAGCAAGAGACTTGAGCATTGATCTTTATGAAGCTCATGCTAAGTTAGGCCCCCCCTTAACCGCTTTGTAGAATGAAGGCCATAAAAAGGATCAGTGCCACGTAGCCCATCCCATTTGATTATTGTACTTACTGTAATCAGATAAATAAAAGTGAAACAAATAAAAAGGAGAAAGCCAGCAGTTGTCATTTTGTTCTCCCAATATGAGAGAGCTTGCAACAACCAATGGAAAAACTTCCCAGCCAGGAGACTAGAAATGGTTTCTGAATACATTTGTTCTTTTTTCATAGCTGAACGTTTGTTGAAACGTTTTATTTTTCCTTTCTCTAGGTAGCGCGCTTCAGGTTCTAAAAGAATGGAATATGACAGGGAAAAAGAAGGTAAGGACTTGCTGTTGAGAATCAAAGTGTTAAGGCCATTTATCAGCTGTCTCTACTAGAGTCTAGTACTATTATGTTCCAGTACTTTATCTACTTTTACTACATGAGTAACTTGATCCACACCTGAATTCAGAAGACCTGAAAGCAAACGTGTACGTTATTTTTAATCCTGTTCTTCTGTTGCTGTCTATCTAGCCCAGTGTTCTGAGGGAATTTCTAGGACAGCATGTGTGGGTGGTGGTGGGGAGACAAACTCTAGGCAGGTACAGAATGAATCCCAAAACAGCACATGCACGCTGCAGAAACACTTAATATGCAACTGTATCCTGGCTAGTCCCAGCCACTTACAGTGTTAAGAGCTTTTGCTGTCAGGCATAGAACTAACCTATGCATAGGAATTATCTGTTGGGGCACTGTCAAGTCGGGCACTTTCAGTAGATGTCTGGGATATGATCTTTATGCTGTGTATCTCCCAGCCTGAGCTGCATCAGGAGACTGCCCAATGAGTCACTGTCATGGAGGCTCCTCTTTATGACTGGGAGAGCTGGTGTCAGCCTCTGTCCAGGGTCTGTGGTTGCTGATAGGGGGATGCCTTAAAGGATTGTCCATGCTACTCTGTGGGTGCCCCCTTCATGCTTAGGGACTGCTTGTCCAAGATGATTGCAAATATTTTGAACAGCATCTTAGTACAGGTTCTGTGACCGTTCTGAAATGTAAGTATTCTGTGCGGAAGGAAGGGGAAAACCAGTTTGAGTCTTCAGCTTTGATTTGAAACTATTTGTATCTGTTCAGCTGAATATATACAATGTATTGTATAGTAGAGCATGGCCTGTAAATTGCATTATAAGGAATGCTGCTTGAATGGCATTTTTCAAAACTAAAGAATATGAATAATTTACTGATTATATTTTAAATTGATATGAACTGCAGTGAGTAATGTCTCTGTTCTTGTGATATATCTCTATTCAGAACAACAGGAGAAAAAGAAGCAAATCTAAACAGCACCAAGGCAATAAAGATTCTAAAGATAAGAATGATGGACCTGAGAAGGCATCTCAGGAGCTCCAGGGAATATATGACTGCCATCTGAATGGATGCTATAAGGACAGCTCTTGCAGTGATTCTGCCAATGAGAAATTGGAAGCCACTTGTCTTGAGAACAAAGGCTCAAGATTTGTAGAGTCGGTGCCAGTCTGTCTGGAAATCACAGGTCAGTGCATCTGCCACAAGAGGTAGTTTTTCACTGGCAGGAGTCAAGGTCACGGACATAAAGATCATGACACTTTTATTACCATGAAGTAGAATTTAAAAAAATTAAAAAAAAAAAAAAAAGAGGAGTAAGGTATTTGTGTAATGTACATAGCTATTTAAAAAAGCCATGCAAGTAGGACTTTGTGGCATGTTTCAGGATTTCTTTATTGCTTAGTCTTGACTTCTCCCAATTTTTGTTTGTGAGGTCTTTGTTTTGGGGGAGAGGCAGTCTGATAGCCTCTCAGTACATGTGCGTTTCTGTCCAGGTACTGCTTCTGAAGCTCTGAGGGACAGTAACAGTTTTACTCACTGGGGTTCTAGTAGATACAGAGTTATGACTATAATAACATCAGGAAAAATAAACCTTTTCATCTGGGGGAGAAGCTCTGGCAGAGCTTCTGCCTTCAAGTATCCTTCCGTCAAATTCATATTTATTTTTAATTGCTGTCAGTACTCATAATGATTTTTCAGCTCTTCACATTTCAAACTTCTGACAGCCCTAGATCATTGCTGCTATGTTAATGCAGCAATGTTCTTCCCGTATCTTAAGCAGTACTTAAGACCTGCATTTAAAAAAACTTTCCTTGAAATCCCCTTCACTGTTGCTTCCAGAGGACTTTGATAGTAGTGCCAATCTCTGGCAAATTAAATACAAACTCCGCAAAACAGAGCAGCAAAGTAGCAGAACTACTTATCAAGTAGTATCAGTCTTATTCAGAGTCCAAATGCTATAGCTTATTGCAGCTTATGTTAGCAGTGTTGACTGGTGAATAGATGTGTCCCAGGCACTTGTCATCTGCTAGAGAAAATGGAGAGCGGAATGCAAGACCCTGGAAAGCCAAATCAGCTTATCATGGAGGACCACAAAGAGTGTTTTCATTTAACTGTGGGCTAGTTAAGGGGCTCTGCCTCTGAATATCTTGAAGGGGAAAAGACCCACAAGAAACCAGGGTTGTTCAAGATGATGATCATTACAGACCCTCCACCTCTCCTTAAGGCTATCAGCAGCACAGATCTTAATTGTGAAGGACCTACAGCTTACAGTGCTTGCCCTTGTAAAGAAGGGGCATAAACACATTGAAAAGATAACCGTGCCATACTATTGCAATTGTACAACCAGATACAAACCAGATATTGTCTTTCTTCCTACTTTTTAAAATGTTTTTCATGTAGGATGATTTTAGCAAATCCCTCAAACTTCCTGTTTATGCCTTGAGACGGTTTTTCCTTTTTCAGCAAAAGAATCCATTGAGGTTCACTTTATTTAAAAGATTTTGAATGTCAAGGTGTTCTAAAAAGATAAAACATGCATTTCGTAGTTATTAGCTCAGCTGGAGATTCAAAGCAAATTTATTTGGGCTATTTCTGTTCCTGGCAGGTCTAATAAACGCTTAACCACTAATACAGGAGAGATGAAATCTTAGTCGAGAGTGCTGAAGTTCCAAGCCACCAAGTACAAAAACCTGCTCACAATTACTCTTAGCTACTATTACCCTAACTACTAGTGTTCCCACCCCCACCCCACATTGAAGTATTTGTGAGAGGCTGTCCATAGACTTTGTTACATGTTTCTTAGCTGGCCCAGATCTTCAGAGATTTGATACTGGCTTTCCCAATCTATTTTTGGGTTGATTGTTCTAAATCACAGTTGAATATTCAGTTGCAGCATATTAAGAGATCATTTGCTAGGCTGTGTTGATCGTCTTGCTGCTGACCTTCAGAGTAGGTTGTGTAAGATTTAGAAAAAACAATTTCAAAGTCTGTTGCAGATAAAAGATGATAAAAGAACTTTTAGGAGTGTCATTGTTGCTCTAGATGATTTTCTTTAAGCAAAAAGATGTCTCGGTTTATCGTTTGTCTTGACAGGTATCCCAAAGCAGCTAATTAAATGCAGTAAATAACAATTTTGCACTTCAACGAAAGAACTCAGAGGATTTGATCTGGGGGACAGAACCCAGATGTCCTGGCCTCTATAGCTTAGCAGCTAGACTATGTGTTCCTAACTGTCTGTCAGGAATGAGTCAGTGAGGCCAGGCTGAAGTGACAGCCGAAAGAAGATTCATTATAAGTCAAAGTTATGTCACACATGAGTGAGTTAGACACAGAGAGGATAAGTGGCTAGCACAAGGTGAATGGCAGTTATGTCAGGACCGTTTCTGGCTACATCCGTGTGAGACTTGTATCCAAACCCAACCAAACCTAACCTTTGATGTGCTCAGAGTGCTGCGTACCTGGTATTTCTTGCTTTCACAGATATGCAGGTTTCTCTAACTTGGCAATGTTTGGTGCAAGACAATTTTCCTATCTGCAGACCCGCCTTTTAACCCCTCGTGAGCAAACAAAATATTTTCAGCATTCTGCATATTCGTTTTGGTCCTTTATGTGCTGCTGTTATAGAAATATTGGTGCTAATGTTCCTCTTTGTTCCTCTGGCCTTATGCGGTTGCCACGGAAACAGCAAAATACACTTTATACCTGTTCTAGAGCCCAACTGGGGCACTCACAAGTCACTAGTGATTTCCTGGAACCGTCCAAGTAGAATCCCTTGGTCTCAGCAGTGTTAATCCCAATCTGTGAGCTACCATCCAATTGTTAATTTGACAGGCCCCTTTTCTCCAAACACCATGTAACATCACTGATGCACAAAAAGCATCTTCAGAACAACTTATCATTCATTTGCCAAAGTGAATACAGGGATTGGGGAAATGCAACAAAGCCTTTTCTACGCATGTTTCGTTATCAATAGCTGGCCTTATAGGTCAGCTTTTGTAGCCTTTTTTTGGCTGTTTGTGGCTGGCGATGTTGGCGTCTCCTTGAATCCCTCTAGAGTCTTATAAAGCGTAAACCAGGCCATCTTGTTAGCAATCAAACAGGCTCAGTCATTACTGTCTTAACCCCTGAAGCTGTTGAACCCGGCAGCCTAATGTCTTACATTGTTTTATTTCCTATTTGCTTCCCTTTAATAGCTTCTTTTGATTTAACTTTATATGGTCAAACAGGATAAATCTTTCTGGTAGGAATGTTTAATCAACATTTTTAAATATTGATTAAATGTTCAATGTTTTTGTGTATGTCTTATTCTTTTTTAACAAACATTAAAATCTCTTACTTTCCGTAGCAGTCTTCCTCTCTAGTTCTATCCTCTGGTATATGAGGTTTGTTGTCTGTGCAATGAGATATTTTTACCATACTAGCATGGAAGAGTGGTTTGGTTTTTTTTTTTTAAGTTTTCTTTTTAGACTGTTGAAACACAGATGTGTTCAGGTGGATGTTTAATCACCGAAGTAGTTTTTCTGTTCTGTCACTGCTTTCAAAGTTTCTGTAGAAGCGTGCCAGTAAGAGAAAGAACTGTTGTTTCTGATCCAATTCCAATTCAGATTCAATAACAAGGCATCAAATCTTTCTTAAACTTGTAACTGTTCTCCACCTTGATATTTTCTTGCAGACAAAGAACATCAGAGAATATCCATGGAATTAAGCCCAAAGTCTGTAAATGGAGTAGAACACTGTGAGTCTCCTCAGTCATCAGTTCAACTTCAGTGTAACACAGGCAGACCAAAGTCAAAATCTTCCTTAGTTAAATCATCCAACTCTACAACCCACCTTGAAATAAAGCCAGATGATTCAGTGAAAAAAAGAGGTAAAGTGGATCTCTTCATTCAGTCTCTGTGTAGAGAGGTGGTCAGACAGCTGATGCCTCTAGAAAAGTACATACATAAGGAGGAAGAGACGTGTCGTAAAGTGAGAGTAGAATTGCGTTCAGCAGAACAAAAATCAGCAGGGTAATCTATGGTCAATTTAAAATTAATCATGAATTCTTAGGACTCTTGTACCACTTCTTTGATTTGGGGAATGAGTTCGAACATGCGTGTTTAGGAAATGAACAGCACCTTAGAAAAACTGAAAATTTTGGGCTTGTGGATTTCAAGAAGATAGCCACTTCAGCCTAATTTGGGCAAAGTAGCATGTTGAAATATTTCCCCTCCCTCATTCAAAGTAGCCAGAATCAGCTTTCTGACCTCTGTGCTATTTTTGCTTTCCACTTTAGGGCCAAACATTGAAAAATCATTGAAAGATTTGCAGCGCTGCACTGTTTCTCTAACCAGATATCGCATTATGATAAAAGACGAAGCAGATAATTCAGTGAAGAAGATCAAAGCTGCATTTGCAGAATTACACAGCTGGTAGGTAAATCAGCTTGGGGAATCCAACAACACAGCCTGAGAAATGAGGGGTGAATGCAGGCCGCTGGCAGCAGGAGGGAAAGTTCATTTACAGTACCCTGTTTGTTTGCAGTGTTTTTTTTTCATCAAGAAAGATGTGGTGCCAGTAAGTAACTCCTTGCCAACCAGACGGTAATAAATATGTGTCTATATGGATGCATACATACATAAACCAATACTACAGTTCTTAGGAAGAAAATAAAACAGAATGGGGTTTTCCCAAAGTGATCCCTCTTGACCTAGTTCTGCTGTATTAAGTTCAGTGGCAGAATAGCTGGGGTAATGAAAGCTTTTTCCAAAATCCTACCTATGGGATTTTCTGAAGTTTCTCTTCTTCTCTCCTTTCACTCTTCCTTCTCTACCTCGTCTTCCATCTTTCTTTCTTTGGTAGCCATTTCTATACCATCTCTTGATTTCCCATCATCTTCTCTTCTTATTTCTCCATTCTTTTTTTCTTTCCCTCATACGTTATTCTGATTTCCCCCTTCCTCACATCACTTCCAGTTCTCATCTCTCAATTCACTCTTTTTCCTCATCCTTTTATCTCTTCCTTTTTCTAAATTTTTTTAAGTTAAATTTTGGTCATTTGTGATCTTCGGTATATATGTCTAGGCCGTAGCAATTGCTGTAGTAGCAAATTTTGTGTATATATGTGGCATGGAAAAATATTTTCTGTTTTGAATTTTACACCATTAGCCTTTTGTTAAGCGGAAATGCCATATAAAACCTGATTGATCAATCCAGTGTTGTAGTAAACGGGAAAAGCTATTAAAATGGACAAAATTCAGTAACAAATCACAGAAGAGCACAAAACCTTTCACCCTTAACTCATCCACAATATTTATCAGTATTTTTATGAGCATCTCTTAGAAAAATGCTACAGTATTGGCAAAAGATCGTTCATTCTGTTTTTTAGTGGTGTGTTCATTGTCTTCAGTGATGTGTCTGAGGTGAGTCTGGTGCCTTTGGGGCCCTACTTTCTGTATAGCCAGAAAGTCCAAGCACTACTGAGCTGATTCTGTGGAAGATGCTGTTGCACTGAGCTGCTGGTGTATCTTACAGGCTAACAAAAAGAACTTACTTGTGTTTGTCTCTGAACTCCGCTGAGCATGGACTGCAGTTGACAGTTGTACTAAACTGTTTACTGTTGTAAAGAATGCTCTGGAGCCGATATGATAATGTTTGCTTATGATCTAAAATGCCGTAATTGTATTCTTGGCATATACAATTAAGTGAATTTCATTAACCACTTCTTTTGGTAGCTCTCAGAGGTGTTTTTGTGAGATTTTTGAAATCTTATAAAATATGTTTGCAGTTTCTACTAATGGCCTTTGGTCTCAGTAGGCTGATAGTTGACTCTCACTTGCTGCTGAGCTTCCACTTGCCCTCAGGTTTTTTTCCAATAGTGTTGAAAATATTTTCATGTCATTTATATGTCTAACCTTGTTTGTAGGCAGTAATAGTCAAGTTAGATCTTTAAATGATAGTCACTCTGGTTGAGAAACAGGCTTATAACTCTGTCCTGATATAAGAATGCATATGGAGCAATATTAACAGATTGACACTGAAATTCTGTGTTTTTCTGTATATTCATATTTTAGCTTGAGAAATGCTAAAACATATTACTTAATGCTAAAATGTGTTACTTAATAGGTGAGCTTAATAGGAAAACAACAGAACAACTCAAAAAGAGTACGTAAATCTAAGTAGACTTAAAATGATGAAAAATTGGCTGAAAGAAACTTTTGAATAGACTCCATTTAATTCCACCTCCTACCAGCATTAGTGCCTAAATTGTTGGAGTGGAGCCTGCCATAAGCTCTAGAATGTATCACATCTGTGCTCGGGAATATTCAAACCTCACAAAACAATTACATGCACGTAGCACAGCATTGCAACAAGGACAGGAGAATGTCAGGGCATGTTTATGGAAATATGTGGGCTGCATAGCTCTTGGCAGCTCATAAACCTAATATTTGGGTTTTTCTTTAAATGAATGAAGGGGAAATTTGGTTTAAACAGCAAAATGTGTTATTTAACACCTTCTCTGCTAAGATTAAAAACAGTTCTGGGATATTTCATATGCCCTTGTGACATAGTCTGTGGATGAGATGGGAACAGCTGTCCTGAGGGCCTAATTTAGAAAAACTTGTAGTCAGCTGCTGTAAATTCATTAGATTTGAGCAGATATCAGCAGAGCCAGTGATGCATGTAGCTTCAGACCTCATATAGTCAACACATTGTATTCCTAGGCTGAAGGGTTTTGTTTGTTACTTGCATGGCAGTTTCCTTACTTTAAAGTCAAAGCATCAGCAGTGGTAGTGGGAGGATAAGGTAACTAAGTGAACATCCAATCTCTTGCATCTTGTCGTCCTCCTGGGCATGGGAATTTCACTATGGCACAGTCAACTTTTCTGTCAAGGCAAAATGAAGCAATTCAGCAAAGCTTTTGCTCCCAGTGTGCTGTGGAGTAACCAAGAGCAGGTAAACAAGGGCATCTGGAGGTAGGGAGGAACGCTAGCATGATAATGATATCTGGTCCCTTTCGTGATAGTAATTCCAAAGCTCCTTGCCAGTTATTGGGGAGTCACTGCAATTCCCAGCTGCTGCTCCAGTGAGAAGTGGTTCAGATGTGCAACAGATCAACATACAACAGTAACAGAGTGCTGCCTCTGCTCAAAACTGAGAAGAAATGCTTAGATGGGCTGAATGCCATAACCTAGATGGGAATTTAAGTAGTGCCTGTTATGTGCAACTATCACCGCCTAAGGAATTTTAGTGAAGCTGTGAAATGAAGCTTTAGTCCTATGTTGCAGCTGAAAGATGAAACACATTCCGGTTTCTGTTGTCTCTCTCGAGTTTTTCTTTTTCCACTTCCTTTGGCAATAGGCTGAAAGCCCCTTTTTGTCCCCTCCTTTTTTGTGTTTACTGACTTTTGAAGGTCAGGATCAAAACTTCTTTTTAAGAGTCAGGAATCATTTGGACTTTCCACTAAATCTTCTGTTTAACCTTCTTATGGTTTTACTAATCACAGCAAAGTTGAAGTGCAGAGATGACATCACATGTCTCCCTCCTACCTCCATATAGCACGATACCGTTATTACAGAGGGAAATGAACAGTACATGTGCCTAAGATGCCTTGAAAAATTCAGCAGAAAGACTGTCCAAAGTTTTTCCTCTTCTTAGCAGCAGAAACTGTTGTGCCAGAGGTGACAGTTGTCAGTGGAAGTCTATGTCTCTGTCTAGCTCTGTAATTCACAGGTTGGCCTGCCTGATGGAAGGAAGTTACTTCTGAATGCAGTTAGTACTGCGCTGCTATTAAAACGGTCCCCTACCTGGCCAAACAGTGCATACCGCCCTTCCCCAATTTTAAAAAGGAGTGATATGGTGCCAGTGGGCTGTGAACTGCTGTAACTAGCTGAAGAAATGCAGTGCTTGCTTCCTGATTTAGCTTTTTAGTGAAATGGGTCCAAAAAACAATCCCAGAAAGATGTATGTTTAAAACTACTGCAGTAGGCTCATTTTCTCTCTTAACGAGCCATTTAAGAGTTTCTTCCAGGTGGAATGATTCTTTACATGCCCAGAGCAAGTGAATAATGACTTGCTTTTATACAGTACTTTACACGCCAGAAGATACCACAGCGTGTTACAGGTTGTGGGCTGGACCAGGCAGTACTCTTTGCCCCACTGTGCAAGAAGTCCCTTGCCCTCTCCTGTGCATTGTGCCTGGTTGCTGTATCCCAGCACTCTCTCACTCCTGCACTTGCATGGCTTACCGAGACACTGCTTTCCTCAAGGCTATCATAGAGCTGGACAGAGCAAGCTCGAGGGCACTGTTTCATGGAATCGAATGTGCACCTGAAAGCAGTGAGGAGGCTCCTTCCAACAGTGTTCCTCAAGCCAGTATTCCTCCTCCTTGCATCCAGCTTTCATGCCTGCCTGTCGGGCATACCTCTGTGTGAGTGCCGGTGTAAGCTGCTCCAATTGTTACTTGGATACAAAACGTATCAGAGTATAGCCATGTCACACAGTAGCCTAAGGCAGGAAAAGAAGAATACCAAATGGTGTTTAAGCTGCAGGGGAAGGTCAGTAGAGTAAGGTGAACTCCTCTCTCACTAGAGTGTGTTTGAGACATTTGTTGCCAAAATTAAAACCCATAGCTCTAAGAGAGAGTTCTCACTTTTCCACAAAGAGACTGAATAACAATCTTGCTGATAAAGAGAGAGCCCCAGGAAATCTGAGGGAAATGCGTAAAGCATAAAAGGAACTACAGTTCCTCATAACACCTCTTGCCAGAAAATAGTTTTCACATATTGGGCATCCATACAGTCATATGGAGGACTGAAAGGAAACATCTGCTAGTTGCCCATGTGGTCTGCTTCCCACCACAAATGGAAAACAGTCTGTATGAAATAGTAAGGGCCAGGTTTAATTACGCTGCATGCAGAACTGGCCAAACAAGCTTCTTCCTTTTTTTTTGCATCTCAAACGTATTGATATGTCCAGTGCCTTATAGACCAGCACAGTCAATTTTTTTAAGTGAACAAATAGCACTTGAAAGCTTCATCTGCTGCATAAAAAAATGACTCTGAGGTAATGCTGGAAAAATGGAGTTGGGCAAACTACCAATTTAAACATATATTCAAATATATTCAGGGAACAATAGGAAGCATGTACCGTATGCTCAGGGAAAAGAAAGCTGCTTTTTTACTGTTTTCTAATTTAAAATCAGAACAGAGTATGGGTTGCATGGAGGAAGAAGTTGTTTAAAAGAACATAGTTTTGTCTGTGCTCGCTCAGTACTGGGTGAGGAGCAACACTGCCAGCGCTCACGGTTTCAGAGCGATGAGTTAACGTAGTCGTCCCCTTGCTGGGACCTTCACTTGGTGGACTGTAAAGATGATGGTTTTCTCTTGTCCGGAACCCAGAATCAATGGCACCAGATGAAGATCTGCCTGTGT